CGGGTGACTTGTCTTACATGCTTACATCTACAAGCAGAGTGAAAGTCAAAACCACAGGTGACCTCAGAAATGTTCCTTGGGATTTTCTTACTCTCCTTGCCTGTGACTCACCTGGCAAGGTGACCCCATGGGGGCAGGAGAGGCGGGGGTCACACCTGAAGGCTACCATGATGTGGCTACCTGGTCCTCCTAGGCAGGAAAGCAAACTTTGCCCCCAAGGAGTGAAAAACAGCTTTACGATAAAGGATGGTCTAGATCTCACGCTAGTTTACATAAAATAAAATAAATCCCTCGCAAACTTCATCCCTTGAACTATGATTAATAATTAGTCATGGGAGACCTCACTCTGGATGCCAGCCCCTGTCTGGAAAGCCAGCTGGCTCTACAGTTACTGCAAATTGAAACGAGACATTTAATGCATAGGATCCTCACTGAAAACACTCTGATTGGCAATATCAACCCTGCCGCCCAGGAAGATGGCCCAATATGGCGTGAAGAACATGGTTTCTACATGATTGCAAACTCAACTCCTTGTTTGTGTCTGATGAAGAAAGCTTGTACCTTTCTGAGCCTGGATTTCCTTCTCTATAGAATGGGGATACAGAGGAACTGGGTGAGCAGGGCCACGCACATAGTAGGTGTTCAATAATAATATTATTTTTTTAAGATGTATTTATTTATTTGAGAGAGAGTGTGCGAGCAGGGGGAGGGGCAGAGAGAGAAGGAGACAAGGAGACTCTCTGCTGAGCGTGGAGCCCAACTCGGGGCTCAATCCCAGGACCCTGAGATCATGACCTGAGCCAAAATCAAGAGCGGGACAGGACACTTAACCCACTGAGCCATCCAGGTGCCCCAATATTATTATTATTAACTTAATATTTGTAGTAGTAGCCATAGCCTTAGAATCACAAAAGAAAACCAGCCTGTCCAGTGACCTACGGAATTTCCCCCAATAAATCCTCTGGGACCCAGACAACACTGTGTCACCCGCCAGTTTCCTAACAAACCCTTCCCCTGTGACCGAATATAAACCAGCTTCACAATCCTCCCCGCAGACCTTCTAATTATCTCCACTGTTTACAGCATCCAGCCCCTCCGCTACCAAATTCTCCATTATTCTGACAGCCAACAAACTAGGCCTATTAGAACCAGCACAACTTCTGCCTAGGGCAGGAACTTTGTGAGACCACAAATCGTCTTGGTATTAAAAGTCGGTGCATAAGAACTGCCCTCAGCTTTTGCGCTAAATTGCTAGTTTGAAGACATTCATTGCAGTACATTGTATTTCCACTATATTTTGCTTTAATAGACTTCTTGGTGAAGTGTATAAGAAGAGTTTTAAAGCCCGAGGTAGCACACAGCCAACTTTTTTTTTCCCTTTTATATATTTTTCCATCTTTTGTTTGTCACCTTATATTGTTTTGTTGCTTCACATACATAAAACAACCTGGCAATCACAGAACAATCCCCAGCAGTTAGTTGGAGGCACATATTGACTTTACTATTAAAAGTTGAAACAATCAAGCTAAAGAATCTGTGGTGTATTTTTCTGCTGCTTGCATGAGACTTTAATTTTAAAACGAATGGAAAATATCCCCTCTGAATGTAATTGCGTTTTCATCGACCTTGGTTTATTTCTATCCTCTTGCATTGCTTGCCTAGGACAACGCTGCAGTTAGAGAGAGAAGTGGAATTTTCATCTGAAACTGCCCAAGTGTTTTATGGCCATGATTCTTTGATTCCAAGTTAATTGGCGGGCTGAGTGATGCCCACTCACCTTGCCTTGCCTTGGTGTAAGCAGCATTGCTCATTCCTGGTTCCCCTTCATGATGCCATGGCAGCTGTCTAGGTAGCCTATGTTAACGCTCTACATTGCTGGGGCTGGGGGGCGCGGGGAGGTGAAGCCTGCATGCTCCCTGTCTTCATGTAGCATACAGTCTCGTGGAGGAGAAGAGGCCAACGCACCTATGACTATGGATGCCCGGAGCCTTTTTACCATCAGAGTTATAAAGAACATGTATGAACAAGGTATCAACTTCAGATGTTGAGGGTCAGAGGAGGTCTTGCAAAAAATGACTGAGATGAATAGGTAAGGGGATTGAATGAGAGTCATCTGAAAGAAAAGCACCAAAAGAGGAAATCACTCATGAAAAGGCCTCAGGGTAGGATGGATCTTTGGAGAAACCAAGACAAGGATGGCACTGGGGAGCAGAGACCATGGTCAAGAGCAGTGGGAGGGGGAGATGGAATGGCGGACAGGCCAAGGGCAGTGGGACCCAAGAGGTGATGATAGAGTTGAGGTTTTACTCCAAGGTCAATTGGAGGCTATGGAAAGGATTTCAACAGAGGAGTTGCAAGATCCAGTTTATATGATCCACTTTTGGAAGAATCCCTCTCCCTCAGGCTTTGTTTGGAGAATAAACTGAAGGAAGGCTGGAGTAGAAATGGAGAAAACCATCTTGAGAAAGATGAGTCCAGGTGAGAGATGGTCACTAAAATGAAGGGTTTGGAAAAAAAGATATTTGGGAAAAAAATGATGTCAAAATGGTTTTAGGACAGACTAGATATGGTGCTGAAGGAGGAGACAGTTTTTAGAAAGAGGTCAAGAGGTCCAGCTGAGCAACTAATAGATGGAGGTACAACTTTTGAGACAGAAAACTCAGATTTGAAAGAACCTCAAGTGTTCAATGGTAGAAAATTTTAAGACTTTTTTTTTTTTCTGGGGGGTGTGAGTAATCAGAATCCAACTACAAATGAAGATGAGATCTATTAGAAGAATGATGGGATATCTCACAAAATTCAAGGAAGAAATGATATCCTGGAAGAGAAGAATCAGGGAGCCCAAAGATCCAGACAGCAGGAATCTGTTGATCTTCCAGGCTGTGATGTTATTCTAACTCGGTTCAGCAGCTTCCAGTTTCTGAGTCTCAACAGCAAATGCCAAATATGGGAAGAGACAATCTGATCGGTCTGGTTTAGGACAGAGGCCCACTTCTCCAATCCACAGTGGGTGGGGAGATAGGACCTTATACCACAATACAGCCACTCCAGGCTCATCCATGTTGTTTGGTTGTACTTCTCAAAGAAGGCTGTGAGTTGTGAAATGGGAAGACACCCCAAATGTCTCCAAATCTATATATGCAATCTCATTTAGACTTTGCAACAACCCTCTGAGATTGATCCTGCTATAACCACACTATGGAGAAGGACCCAGAGAAGGGAATCAGCCTCTAAGGCGACACAGTTAGTAGGTGGTAGAGCTGTGAGTTAAACCCATGCTGGTCTATAGTGCCTTCCAAGTCCAGTGGATTCAGTCTACACCCACAGCTACTCAAAATGCACTCTCCCAGCCTTGGCCTTATTATGCAGTATGCTGAGCACTCCAGAGAAAAGAAAAGAGATTTGGTTAAGTTTAATTATGTTCTAGTTGATTCATCAGACTTCTGGAATCTGAAATTTATGCCTTTCCACAGATGGTTAACATGATGATTAGAAGGATAAAAGAGCATTCACCCAGAGATAAACGTAAGGTTGGTTAAAGCAGCACGATTGCTTCTATTTCCAAGCTTGGCCCAACGTTGTGACTTTCGGAGACCAAAAACAAGAATGAATATCTCCTTCTGAAGCTGTCACACAAACTGTTCACAGTTCTTTCTGTGAATCCTGTGATAGATAGATGAGATTCATCTTGACTGAAGCGGAAAGAATGGAAATCCCTCCATCAACATCAGAGGGAAAAGACTGATTACACATAATAAAATATCCTCCATAGCACATCATACTCCCCTTTGTGTTAAATGGATTTGTGAATGGCAGCAGGAGATATATTAGTTATATTACAGAGAACTCCTAAACATGCATACTGGGCTGACTGAAGTCTCCTCTACAAGAATATAAACTCTCTAAGCGCAGGTGCTGTCCTGTTCATTGCAGTATCCAGGGTCAAAACCAGTGTCTGGCATGTGATATCCAAATGCCTAGAACATGACTGAGGAAAGAAGGAATGACTAGAATTGCCCAACTGTTGATTTCTAGGTGTCATTTTGTGAAATTCTTTCTTCAAAATTTTCTATGTTTATGACACCACAATAAAGACAAGCTTCACCCACACAGAAAACATTAGAAAGTCAATAAGGTTGAACACAGAAATAGGCAAATCATCCAAAGAACATATTATAGGTGTTTGCTTCCATAATTTTCTTGGTTTACTTTACCAACTTTTATCCTTCCCATCTACTCTCCTAATAGCACTTACATATGGATGGGAGTGGAAAAAGGGTAGATAAAAGCAAGCTGACAAAAATAAACAAAAACTAGAGGAACCCATCTGCACGGTGTCCGCAAACCAGGAAGAGTGCTCTTACCAGAACCCTACCAGCTGACACCCCCATCTTGCATTTCCAAACCCCAGAATTGCACTGGACATGATTTCTGTTTCCATCACCCAGAAGCCACCTGATCTTGACCACCCTCCCGCCTCTTCCTTCGGGATCCACAGCGCACCACCTTTAAGGAGCAATGGGGGGATGTGGAGAGCAGCGACACACAAGGCTGAGTTGAAAGAGCTTTGCACACACTTAATGAGGAACTCCTGGGAGTGAGGAGGCTGAGGCCCAGCAAAGCCATATTCATTAGCTCTCTAGGATATACTGCTACACACTTGAGTATGAAATCCACTGCTCCAAGCCCATCGTTGGGAGTAGAAAATGACATAGTGGCATGATAAATTAAGTATGTCGGTGGCCTGAAATCCTAAGTACATCCCCACAAGGACCTTCCTTTGTACCACAGTGGGGACCAACTCGACACTGAACAGCAGAAACAGACCTTTCAGAAAGCCCATACGGTCATGTGGGCCCCAACTCAGAATTTTTCATTCCAGGACATCTGGAAGCACTGAAGCTGTAGACTTTTCCATCTTGTACCAAAAGACATAAAATGACCTGAAAAAGGCAGCAGGATCAAAGAAAATGAGGGAAAAGCAGAGGCAACAAGAACAATTAAATAAAAAAAAAAAAATCCCTTCGTTTATCTGGATATTTCAAGGCATTGCAGTAAAGATTCCCTCTATCAATTATTTTCAAAATTTGTTTTTCACCAGAGCCCTTTCTTCGAACATACAGTACATTTAACCCTGATTTACGTAACAGGAAAAGACACTGCTGGAGTCCGGCCCCACAGCCTTCTTCGGTGACCCCGAGGCCCCTGTGGCATCACTAGGAAGTCCCACAAGTATGCCAAGGGCAGCGTGAGCAACTGCCGTTCCAGAGAGGATTTCCTTCTTCATGCTCATCGTCCCAGACAACAGCCGAGAGAACACAGCAGTGACGGCAAAACCGGCGATTGGTTTAGGTTTGAGTCCGTTGAGGTCCCTAGACTATGTTTGAAAAGATCAGCATGTTTAATAGATACATAATGATCCAGAATTTAACCCCCTCCCCCCCAAAAAAAAGAAAAAGAGAAAAGACAAGAAAAGACAAGACAAGAAAGGAGGAGGAGAAAAAGAGTCCGAAAGCAAAGAGGAAGAAGAAAGCAAGCAGCTCTGAACTACTCAAGAGTCTCAGTGGTTTTACTTTTCGTCTTGAGATGCCTGGAAGCGCTGACTTTTGTTGTCACTCTGGGCCCAAGGCGCCCCTTCTTTTCCCACGCTGACCTCTGCCTTTTCTGTAGGTGGTTTACATAGCAGAGCGCAGGGTTCCAGCTCTTCCGCAAACTTCTTCACAGCAGAAAGGGCAAACAAGGTTTCCCATAACTTCCTGTTTCTCAACAGAGCTATGGGTCATCCCCCTCCCCCATGTTTTTGTTTTCTGCTCATTCTCATGGAAAAAAAAAAAAACTGGCGATTGTTAGAAAAGGAAAATTAATTAAAAGCAGGGGAAGCATCAGAAACTGACATGGGGCTAAATGTGCTTTCGTCTTTTTTTTTTCCTTCCACCAGGCATTTGAGAAGTTTGTATGTGTTCTGTGCATTTTGTAAGTAGCAGGTGAAAAATGTAACATATGTATCATCTTTTCTTCCTGTGTTTTATGGTCTTCTTATTATTTTTTATTTTTTTTATTTATTTTTTTATTATTATTATTTTTTAGAAGTCAGATGCCCTGGAGAGGTTTAACTCTAGGGTTATTGTGTGAAGAAGAGTATTTGGGATTAAGATTTTCAGATGAGGTTAAAGCTTTTTGGTTGACCCTTGACATGACCTTTAGCTGGAAGCACCTCCAGAGGAGGAACTTGGGCTTATACATCTTTATGACCCCCGCACGCCTCATCACAATGCTGGGTACAAAGTAGACACTCAGAAAGTTTACTGAGTCAGTGTAGGTTGAATGTCGTAACCCCAAACTTTCATTTACCATCTGTAAAGATAGTAACAGTAATACAGAGCCAAGAAAATTGTGTCATTTATAACTTCTAAAAGCCCTTCAAAATTAGTTCCAGAACGATCCTCAATGACTTCTTGAAAGAACAGGATGTGATATGGACAGTTTTAAACTCTGACCTGTTTGATAAAACTTTCTCCTTCCCTATGTATGAATATATTTCCAAAAAGTGTAAAATGTTATGTTTCAGATGAGGAGGTTTGCCAGAAGGACCCGCCAACTACATAAAACGAAAAAACAGTCTCCTGGAAACAACCAGGTAATTGACTATTATTTGCCAAGCAGTGATGGGAAAATTCTATGTAAGTCTGAAAGACGCCCCAGTGTCCAGACAATAATGTAGAAATCAAAATATGTCCTGACACAGTCTCTGTAACCGTTAGTTAATATGGGCATGGATGCATTCTTTAGTACGGAGCTCTTCACATCCTCCAGGCTGGGAAAATTTTACAGGAGGAGCTCTTTGCTCCTAAGAACCAACATGTAGATAGAATCCCCTACCATCCCTGTCTTAAAGAGTCTAGATATTCAAGACAGCTAGGAATTCCTTTCCATATCCCAACACCACATTTGTTGAACATTTCTTTCATTCCAGGCCAGACCACTGTGTTCAAAATTCCACCCAGATTGTTTGCCAATATACACACTTTGTGAAGCAGTTTGCGAATAATGCAAATCACTCCGTGTGTAATTAAGGAGCGTGCAGTTGTTTCTATCTGTAACTGAGAGGGGAGAAAGACCCCCAAGAAATATGTCACTTACAAGACAGGACCTTAACTTCCTTATCCCTTTAAGTATTGTTGGAGGGAACGATAGGCTCCCAGCAGATCTTGGCTCAGGCTTACCTGGACACTCACTGGAAATCTATCCAAACTTCTTTAGAAAATGAAATTGGACCAGAATTGTATTGAGATGAGAGTTCTCAGACCAATTCCCTGTATTTTGCTTCTATCAACCAAGGAATATAAAAAGAGATTTTCTTAGATTATTCCAACTGCAAGTAGAAGCTGAAAGGGAAGGAGGGGGAGGAAATAGTGAGGGGAGATGAGATGCAAGTGCAGATGTCGATGAACGTGGGGAAAAAAAATCCTATTTTATTTTTGTGAATCTGGGATTTATGCAGAGCAGATCGGACATCCTATTATTGGCTGCGTTAAACAGGATGCAGAATACCAGAGCCGAAGTGAAACCTGAGCAAAGCCTCTGATGGGACATGGAAGAGTCAGAGTCAGAGAAAAAGAGAAGGCAAGAAGGAGAGGGTCAGAGAGACAGAAAGGAGGGCAGCTCTGGGAGAAGACATGAGAAATTAGAACAGGAGCTCAGAGCACTCGGGAGAGCGGGGGAAATGACAGTTGAAATTAGAACAGGAGCTAAGAGGAGCAAGCAGAAGGGGACGGCAGGAACCAAGAAATTTAAGGAGGGGAGAACCAACTCAGAGAAGTGGCCAGAAAAAAAGCCAGCTGAGCTTCATTAAGAGGGCCGGGGACTCCTGTGTGTCCGGTAGACAGACGTCGCCCGTATGGCTCAAAACAAATTGTCATTCTGAAATGACTCTGAAAGCGGGAATGGAATGTGCCCCAACAAATCAATATTAAATTTTATGCCTGCTGCACCTTTCAAAAGCCTCAAGAAGACATTGATTCAAGTAAGTGTCACCTTTTTTTTCAATGGCCTTTGATTATTGACTTTGAACAGTTTTGGAGCCGAAGTTGGCACCCCGACCTGGGGACCAGGGAAGACGGAGGGGCGGTTTCCAGTTGTGGCTGCGAGGATGCGTTGTCAAGGCTGCAGGGGGAGGGATGCTCTGGCGGGAGGAAGTGCTCGTCCCCATCCAACTGCAGCGCGCGTGCGTGTGGAAGCCGGGGGTTTATGGTTTTCATTATATAGCAGGCATTCTTAGAAAGCCGAGAGGAGTTGTGCTTTCTGGCTGGTCTGGCGGAGCGGTTTGGGGCACTTTATAAGTTGTATTTTGTGGCCAGTTTTGCAAGAGGAAAATCCCTGATTCCAGTGGACCGGCTTGGGAAAACGGGACGATGGGTTTCCCAGATGAGGCCTTTGCGCAACTGGCCAATCAGGACTCTGGCTTTGCAGTTTTTACTGACTGCCTTATCTCTTGCAGTCAGACACCCATCCTGGGTCGGAATTGGTTATATCGGGTCCAGGTTTGTGTCTGGGACTGAATGAATAGGATTTCAAGCTGGGACACATGATATAGTCATGCTCTGTTTCTCTGTACCTTAAAGTCAGCCTGGAGTCTGGGTTTTAGGCCAAGAATACTATCTCCATTGTACCAACAATCTCCATGTATTGCTGATTTGTTTCTTGGAAAGTGGTCCACCATCCTGCCTCCTCCATGCTTGATTCAAATGCCACCTTCCCAAGAATCTGATACTGGCCACGATTCTTCCTTCATCTGAGTCTGAATCTCTGGTTCTGGTGACCCATTCTATCTTCTAAATTTCCTTGATTTCCTGGATTCGGCTTCTTGATAACCCCTGAGCAGGAATCCCTCTCATCAGCTGGTCCTGAGAAACCCAGTCCCACCCTGGGAGGGTCACCTGTTCAACATCTCATCATGTTGCAGAGATGGTGTGAAATATCCTGCTGTGCCTAGTCCCAGGGCTTACTTGGTGATAATATATTTACATGTTATCCAGTTATCTACTTCATTATATCTACCTTTCCCCAACTGGCTCTTGCTTTCTGCCTATGAATGAGTCCATGCCTCCCCAGTCCTGGAAACTGATTCATTCATTCCTTCAATAGATGTTTATTAAACCAATATGATGTCCTAAGTGGTGTGCTAGGTACCATTGATCTTGTATTAAGTTGATTTTTACTCATTCCAATATTTATTACATATGAAGCATGTGTTGGGTGCTTTTCTAAGTGGTGGCACTAGAAGACAGTGATGAAGATGATGATGAAGATAGTTCCAGTTTTCATAGTTCTTACATGCAATTGAGTGGAAGCAATAAATATACGAACAAATAAATATGGTAGGTCAGATGATGATATGGAAGGAAATAAAGCAGGGTAAGGGATAGGGAGTGCTGAAGGTGGGCACTAATATGTTGTATAGGAAAGGCCTCACAATAAGGTGACATTTGAGCAGAGACTTAATAAAGAAAGGGGAACCTTATATAGATTTAGGGGGAAGAATGTACCAGTAAGGGGAAACAGAATATGCAAAGGTCCTGAGATATTTTCTTTGTTAAAGGAACAGGTAAGAGGTCTTGGTAGCTAGTGTAGAGAGATCTGAAGGTAGCGAAGGAGAAGATGAAGGCAAAGAATGACCAGGGCCCAGATCGGGTAGGGTCTTGAAGTCATTAAAAGGACTTTGGCTTTTACTTTTGGTGAGGTCTAGAAAACCACTAGAGGCCTCTGAGCAGAAGGATGGCACAAACAATATTTTCAAAGAATCACTCTGGCTGTTCCATTGAGAAGAGACTCTGGATAGACAGGTATGGAAACAGAAAGCCCAGGTAGAAGCTGACTGTAATAGTCCAGGCAAGAAATGATAATGACTTGGATCAAGGTGGTAACAATGATGTGGCACAAAGTGATGAGATGCTAGATATATTTAAGAAGTTGACAGCATTTGCCGATGGACAGCTTTGGAGATGTGACAACAAGAAAGGAGATGAATATCTGCATTGGTTTCAGCTGGGAAACTGGAAGGATGAAGTTGTTATTTGCTAAGGAAAGACTGGAGAAGAAGCATACTTGGGAGATTGGTGCTTAACAGGGAGTCGTGAATTTGGTTCTAGGAATGTTGACTTTGAGACACTGTATGAATATCCAAGTAGATATGACAAGTAGATACATAGAACCTGGGGTTGAGGGTAGACATCCAGGCTGGAGATATGATTTTGGAGTCACCAGTATTTAGGTGATACTTAAAGCCAAAGGCAAGATGGGATCACATAGGAAGTCAGTGCAGACAGAGATGGAGAAGTGGAAAGAACGGTTCTTTGGGTGTTCTAATGTTTCCAAGTCAGGAGGGTAAGGAAGTACCAGCAACAAAATGGAAAGTAGTGCCCAGTGACGTGGGAAGAGAACCAAAAGAAAATGGTGTTCTGGAAGCCAAAAGAAGTGCAAATTTTGAGAGGAGGGAGTGATCGAATGAGAACTACAAACCAACTCATGAATTTAGCCATGTGGAGGTCACTGTTGCCCTTAATAAGAGCTGTTTCAGTGAAGAGGTGAGGTGTAAGATGCTGATTTCACTGAAGTCAAGAAAGAGGAGGAGACAAATTAGAGTCAGCGAGTAGAGGCAGAGAAATGGAGTATGACCTGGAGAAAGATGTGGAGTCATGGGAGGCTGTTTTTCAGGC